AAAGCAAAGGTCCACTGGAATAGGACCGTTGTCCAGACGAGTAATCAGTGGCCACCAACCGCTCACTCTTGTCATCAGAGATGCGTAAGAAACACCCATTGGCACGCAACTGTTGTGCGCCGAAGCTGTGGGGTGCACCTTGCCAGGCATGTGGAACTCTATCCGGGAGGTAGACGGTTCTTCGGCCGCGGACGTTGTTGCCAATTCTGTAGGCAGTTGGATGCAACCTCCAAAGCTCTCACGGAAAGCGAGATTTTGTTTTCTGGGGAAATCCGGAGCTGACTGTTGGAACGACGAACTGTCCGAAGAGGTCGTCGGGGCCAACTCCAGGTGTTGCAGCTGGCAATGCAAGTCGACGGCTTGTTTAGTTTCCATAACCCGGTTCATGAGGTCGTTTGCCGAGCCTTCTTCGGCGCCGTCATGCAACCGTCGGTGCAGGGGATGCGATTCCTATCAGCGCAATGGATTATTCTCTCTTGTGCGGGTCGAACGGGTCATTCGAATTCGTGTCCACACCCTGCAAAACAGCGGAGCAGACTATAAGCACGGTCAGATTTACGCATTGAGGGCACAAAGTTCGCCGGGATCCGAATTTGGCGGGTGCAGGAGTAGCAAGGAACCTGTTTTCGCGCGGCTTGTGTCAGTGGAAGGTAGCGCCAGTGGGTGCACACAAGGAACGCTATGTTTGGGCGAACAGAAGGAAGGCTCTGTTGTCGGTGAACGATAGCATGCACAGAACAAAGGGTAGTGGTGTATGCACCACCACACAATTCGGCGTAGCGCGACCCCAAGCAGACCCCTATAAACAAAGATTCTCACCATCGTCTAAGCGAGCTCGTGCGGTGCTCCATTCGCTGGCACTAGTGCAATAGTGACCCCCGATTCGCGCGCCGGGAATGTCGACGTGCGACAGCGCGAACCGGACAGCACGCAGAAACACAAGCATGTCTGCGTCAAGACTCCGCACACCGCGACGGTCAAAACCCTTGGGGGGCAGAAAAGATCGTGGGTGCGAAAAATTGCTCGCCTTCTGAAATGCCCTTGAAGGGGTTTATGGGGGTTGCCGACGGTGACAACGGTCATGTCCCTTTCTTTCGGCAACCCCCATGAACCCCTTTAAGGGCATTTCAGAGGGCGAGCAATTTCTCGCACCCGCAGTCCTCTCGCAATCAACTCACATTTGAAGCTCCAGGCGCCATGCGAAGGACGGATAGATTTGCGCCGATCCTCAAAGTCCGCCAGGATCCGAACTTGGCGGATTTGCTTGCAGCGAGTAACAGGTTTTCGCGCGGCTGCAAGTATTGGAACAGGTGGATGGCGTTTGCACAGAAGCAGGCGATGCTCGGCCACACCGCATTTCGGGGCGTCGATGAACGAAGATCCACGGCACACCGGAAATGCACCCGGCCAGTGACACTGTCGTCAACCCCAATAAACCCCTTTCAACGCAACTCACAAGGCGAGCACTTTTCCGCACTACCAGGCCGCCGGCATTGAAGATGGACTGGGCAGTCCAAGCTGTTAAAAATAACGGTCAGATTTACGGGGAGCCTCTAAGTTCGCCGATATCCGAATTTGGCGGGTGCAGGAGTAGCAAGAAACCTGTTTCCGCGAGGCATGTGTCAGTGGAAGATAGCGCCAGTGGGTGCACACAAGGAACGCTATGTTTGGGCGAACAGAAGGAAGGCTCTGTTGTCGATGAACGATAGCACGCGCAAAACAAAGGGTAGTGGTGGATGCACTACCACACAATTCGGCGCAGCGCGACCCCAAACTGACCCCCATAAACTCGATTCTCACCATCGTGTAAGCGAGCTCGTGCAGTTTTTCATTCACAGGTACTAGCGCAAGAGCTTATCGAACTCGGACATCCCCACTGCGTAGACAAGAAAAATGTAGAAAAGGATGAAAGATCCCCCCTTCAACCCTTCCAAACATTGATTCGGCCCGTCGAGAAGGCGACCCTCGATTCTGCGATAAGACTCCGCACATCGCGACGATCAAAAGCAATGGCGGGCAACAAAGGTCGTGGGCGCGAAAAATTGCTCGCCTTCATAAATCTCCTCGAAGGGGTTAATTTGGGTTGCCGACGGTGACAACGGTCGTGTCCCTTATTTTCGGCAACCCCCATGAACCCCTTGAAGGGCATTTCAGAGGGCGAGCAATTTCTCGCACCCACAGTCCTGTTGCAATCAACTCACACTCGAAGCTCCAGGCGCCATGCGAAGGACGGATAGATTCGCGTCGATCCTCAAAGTCCGCCAGGATCTGAACTTGGTGGATTCGCCTGCATTTGCAACGGGTGGATGGCGTTTGCACAGAAGCAGGCGTTGCTCAGGCGCACTGCATTTTGGGGCGCCGATGAACGTAGATCCACGGCACACTGAAATGGACCAGGCCAACGACACCGTCGTCAACCCCAATAAACCCCTTTCAGGGCAACTTACAAGGCGAGCAATTCTGCGCAAATCAGGCTGCCGGCATTGAAGACGGACGGAGAAGTCCAAGCCGTTGAAAACAACGGTCAGATTCATGAGGCGCCTCGAAGTCCTCCGGGATCCGAATATAGCCGGTGCTGGAGTAGGAAGGAGCCTGTTTTTGTGCAGCCGGTGTCAGTGGAACGGAGCGCCAGCGGGTGCACACAAGGAACGGTATGCTTGGCCGCACAGAAGGAAGGCTCTGCCGCTCTCGAGCTGTCGTTGAACGTCAGCACGTGCAGAGCAAAGGGCAGCGGTGAATGCACCACCACAAAATCGGGCGCAGCGCGACCCCAAACTGACCCCTAGTGCAAGAGTTCATCGAGATCGGACATCTCTACCGCGTAGGCAAGAAAAATGTAGAAATTTATGAAAGACCCCCCCTGCAACCCTTCCAAACCCCAATTCGGCCAGTCGACAAAGCGACCCCCGATTCGCGCGCCGGTAACGCCGACGTGCGAAAGCGCGAACCGGAAACCACGCAGAAACACGAGCATGTGTGCGACAAGAATCCGCGCACTAGGATGGTCAAAACCCTCTGGGGGCAACAAAGATCGACTGCACACAGACAAGGGACACGGCCGCTATCACCGTCGGCAACCCCCACAAACCCCTTGAAGGGCATCTCAGAAAGTGAGCAATTTTTCACACCCACAGTCCTCGCGCAATCAACTCACACTTGAAGCTCTAGGCCTCATGCGAGCACTGTTGCGTGCCCGGAGGCCTCTGGTAATCAGAAGACACTCGACAGTCGCCGCCGTCGAAAACGGCGGTTATCCGAACTTGGCGCTTGCTGGACTAGCCAAGAACCGGTTTGCGCGGGGGACGACTGATACTTGGATGACCGGTGTGGAATTGCACAGAAGGAACGCTAGGCTTGGCTACATGTTCAGGGAGGCCCTGCTGCTGCTCAGAAGTGTCTGTTCCAACAGAGCACGCACAACAGAAATGGTCGTCGTAGGTGCACCACGTCGGAAATTGGTGCAGCGCGGCCCCCAATAGACCCCCATGGACCCCGATTCTCCTCATCGACAAAGCGAGCACTTGCGGCGATCCAGTCGCAAATGTTGCCATCCTTGATGACAACGACTGCAAGCACAAAAAACAAATGACCACGGCTGGTGGACCCCCGATTAGTACCGCAGACAAGGCGAGCTCGCGGACGGGCTATGGCAGGTTCCACAGCCAGGTTCATGGGACAACGTAAGGGTGCCAACCACGAAGTCCGCCCGGATCCGAACTTCAGATCGGTTGCCGCGTTCGACCGGAACAAGGGCCCGTTTTGCAATGACGCCCGGATCCGACTTTTTTGTTTTTGCGGCAACGCCAACGAAAGAACAGTCATGCAACCAGGACTCTGAAAAGATCCATGCAAACCGTAAGCGTCTTATTTCAGCGATGCGGTTGAAACAACAATAATCATCCGAGCAGCCCGCGACTTCGCATGCTTCATATTGCAAGTCCGTCGGGATCCGAACTTCGTCGCACGCTGAAAACTGACATGGCGTTATGAACTATCGACCCCACGCCCAAAGGATGGGAACTGTGTCCCGCAAAACGTAGTCATCAGGGCAACCCGGGATGGCATTGTGACTGCGAACGCGAAATCAACAACCGCCAAAAAAATGGGAACTTCGGATTCCGGCGAACTACAGCAATCATGCGCTATTTTCGCACCTGCGCGTGCTCTCCCTGCGGTCGCGCGACGGCAACAGATTGCTGCTTTCGCCAGAGCACTGCGCATGATTGCTGTAGTTTGTCGGGATCTGAACTTCCCATCTCGCCAGGCAACCACACGCCACGCACCATTTTTCGTTTGGCTGTTTCTGGTTTCGAGCTTGCGGTGACAATGGCGACCGCCCTTGCCCCGATGACTGAGACGTTTCCCGGTGGCGGCCGGATTGTTCGTTACTGAACGAGGCCATGTTTTCATGTCGAGGTTGTCGTCACGAAACATACGGCGCTCACGCCGAAGAAACGCCATCGTCATTGCAGAGAGCGGCGCAGGCGTTCTCCATCGCATGCACGCAACGTGTGCATTCTTCGTTCTAGAGCCCGCGGATGTTGCGCGCACAGTCCTGGCATTTGTCGTGCGGAATGCGATATCGCATCCCTCACAACCACCGCCAGGAGAGGCGCTCAACATCCATGGCCTCTATGGTGGATCATGTGCACGTTGTGTGCGCGGGATGGAGACGACAGCAACTCTCCCGGGATTGACACCATAGTCTCTTAGGTGAGGGAGGCTCAAGTGTTGCGGTGAGAACACGAACACGGAACGATGACCCCCTCCTGTTTATGAATACCTTATCTCTCACTACACGCCACGTGGACGGCGGACATCCTTCCCACCATGGCCACCGCGCGACGCTTAGTGCCAACAGCGGTCGCGCGCAGCCCATGCGACTCCTTTGTGATAACCAACCTCTAATCTCTTTGTTGAGAACAGCAGACAATCGAAGGAAGTGTTTCGAAGGGGTTTCGTGTTCTGCTGGGAATAGGCGATTTCGTGTTTGCCTCGACCGCGCGGGAGTGGTTTGCAATGTCCAGCTTGTGATCAACGACAGTTTTTCTTCAATGCCAAGCCAAACAAGAATCGTGGGGGCGGTCGCTTGGAACGAATGAGAGAGAAGCAGAACGGGACACGCAAAATGTGTGCCCCGATGTCCACGTCATCCGTTCCCGCCGTCCCACCCACTTGCGACCCATGGCACGACATGATGATAATGATGACGACGGTGATGAACACGTTGATGGTGATGATTACGGTGGTGATGCTGATCTGAGCGACGATGTCGCTGACGATAATGACGATGTTGATGACGATGATGATGTCGATGATGATGTTCGGGATGATGATGATTGTGACGACAACGATGATGATGATGACGATGATAACGACGATGATGACAATGTTGATGATGGCGATGACAACAAGAGGACGATGGTGGTGATTTTGATGACGGCGACGATGTCGCTGATGATGATGATGTTGTTGACGACGTTGATGATGTCGATGATGATGTCGACGATGATGACAATGTTGATGACGTGGACGAGGTTGATGATGATGTTGTTGATGATGATGATGATGTTGATGAAGATGATGATGATCACGACGACAATGATGGTGATGATGATGATGATGAAGATGATGACGCTGATGGTGGTGGCGACGATGATGGTGATGATGGGGGCGATGATGATGATGATGATGGCAAGCAAGAATCACGGGGCCGCTCGCTAGGAAAGAACGAGCGGGAATCAGAAGGGGACACAGAAACCATATGGCCCAATGTCACCGACATCCTTTCCCTCCGTCCCCGCAACTTGAAACAGGTGGCGCGGCGCGGCTGCTCCCATGGGCTGGCAAACATGCCAAGCATGTGGGCAGGCAGAACAGCACTTTACCTTGAAGAGGGCACAGCGCACATGATGGCGCTGCTCTTTGACGGCTCACAGTTCTTCGAGGAGGCGCAATTCTTCGACGACGGCGAAGTGCACACGATGGCGCAACTGTTCGACAAGGGCTCAGCGCAAACGGCGGTGGCCACTTGCTGACGCAGGACGCAGAGACGAGATGTCGAAGCGGAGACAACCGAACCACAGACGACAATTGTCCACGAGAGGAAACCCCTGCGCCCACGCCCGCCGCCGCCTGGCGCATTAACGGAGCAGAAAAGGCGATGGAGGATGTCGCTGACGAGACGTCGAGCGCGAATGCGCTCGTCAGGCTCGAGATACGAAAGGGCTGAGCGTTAGACTGTCGTCACACCCCATGGAAAGGCCCGCCTGTGTCCCTCCCCCACGGCCACAAATCCCGCTCGCCAGCCAAGAGACGCGAAT